ATGCTTGGCTATGTGCATGTACAAGCCATGGGATGCATCAGCTGGTTGCTGTCTATTTTGTTTGAACCCTCGTTTTGTATTCAATTTGCTTAGTACCGTGGATTGGTGTCCCATGTTCGTGTATAGCTGTAGAAATTGTCTAATTTAAGTGTGTGCTCCATATGGCCAGTTTTACTGAATGACTGCTGTGTTTGAGTTTGAGATGCTTGTTGTGGCGTGATGGCTGCATGAGTGGCTCCATCAGGTGCTTTTGGGGGGGCGTTAAGAAGAAGAACCTTCTCACGCAGGTCCAGAAAAACCCCGAACCTCTGCCCCACCCATATACAGTGGCACCGTACCCCTGTGAGAACAAGGCCGTTCCTTAGACATGTGCTTTGACGTGGGATAAACGAGGGGATTTTTTTATCCCCAGCCTGAAATTCGCTCCCACAGGGAGTCGAACCCGGGACCTGAGGAGTGCCGCTGGGACGCTCTAACCAGTTGGACTAGAGGCCCTTTGGCTTGAGAAAGAGTATGAGGATTTCAATAGAATTTTATCTTCTCAGGTAAGTGCTGACTGATCTTTGAGTTAGTTTCCCACATAAGGCTTGTTTAGTTGGAGATCAATTGTGGGAATTTATGTGTAAGGTGTCTTTGAAGGCTCGGTTGGTTGTCTGTTTGGCGGGCAGGAAATATAGGTGTTATGGGAAATGCATATTTCAGGGTACAGATTACTGTTCATGGAGTGAGTTGCTGATTGGAACGGATTTGAATAACTTCTTTAGGCAGATGAATATATCTCAGGCATTTAAAGTGACTTATTTTTAGCATGGCTTTACCTCCTGAAATTTCTAGAAGATATTATTGGTGGATGTGAATTTGTATTGAAAATTTCCATTGGCAACTGGAGAGTGTAGTGACACCCTAGAATATCCAAGGTGTTGGAAGTCTTTTTGTTTGAGTAAAATTTTCACAAGTCCATCTTAGTCTCATGAAAACCAAAATGTTGAAAGTCTCCTTAGAGGTAACTTTCTGGTAGGGGGGGGGGAGCCACCCCGGGCATTGCGTTAAGAAGAAGAACCTTCTCACGCAGGTCCAGAAAAACCCCGAACCCCTGCCCCATCCATACACAGCGGCACCGTACCCCTGTGAGAATAAGGCCGTTCCTTAGACCTGTGCTTTGACGTGGGACAAACGAGGGGATTTTTTTAACCCTAGCCTGAAATTCGCTCCCACAGGGAGTCGAACCCAGGACCTGAGGAGTGCCGCTGGGACGCTCTAACCAGTTGGACTAGAGGCCCTTTGGCTTGAGAAAGAGTATGAGGATTTCAACAGAATTTTATCTTCTCAGGTAAGTGCTGACTGATCTTTGAGTTAGTTTCCCACATAAGGCTTGTTTAGTTGGAGATCAATTGTGGGAATTTATGTGTAAGGTGTCTTTGAAGGCTCGGTTGGTTGTCTGTTTGGCGGGCAGGAAATATAGGTGTTATGGGGAATGCATATTTCAGGGTACAGTTACTGTTCATGGAGTGAGTTGCTGATTGGAACGGATTTGAATAACTTCTTTAGGCAGATGAATATATCTCAGGCATTTAAAGTGACTTATTTTTAGCATGGCTTTACCTCCTGAAATTTCTAGAAGATATTATTGGTGGATGTGAATTTGTATTGAAAATTTCCATTGGCAACTGGAGAGTGTAGTGACACCCTAGAATATCCAAGGTGTTGGAAGTCTTTTTGTTTGAGTAAAATTTTCACAAGTCCATCTTAGTCTCATGAAAACCAAAATGTTGAAAGTCTCCTTAGAGGTAACTTTCTGGTACTAATAATCCAAGTTACCAAGCATATTATTCTGTTTCTGCTTTGCCCTTTTACTTCCTGATTCATATGATATCAGTAGCTTGTGTATGGTATATTGGAATTGATCGCCATACACATAATTTCTGTTTATTTGCTTAGAACAGCCTTTTTCAGTGCAAGTTTGAGTCCAAGCCTTCTGAAATTATATTATATATGCCATTCTGATAGAAATAAGAACACACGTATGTGTGAGGTATTTGGATCTCATTCAGATACATTTTAAGATTCTTACATTTGTTGACATTTCAGACTATAGATTCATTGAGGTCAATGGCTATGGGTGCACCCCTGGAAGATGCTCGTGGTCTTGCACAGCGCTATAGCCGGATGAGACGTGAAGCTGAGATCCTCGTATGTACTAGTGGCTTAATCCTTCGCTGCAAATGAGCAAAAATTCCAATTGCTGCTACTTCCATTTACCCTGATCCTTCTTGTTTGTTCAATAGTCGGCTGAAATTGCTGGAAGAAAGGCACGGGTAAGAGAAGCTCCAAATCCTGAGCACACTACAAAGCTTCAGCAGTCAGAAGCTAAAATGATAGGGCACAAATCAAGCATGGCTGTGTTAGGAAAGGAAGCAGCAGCTGCGCTTGCGGCTGTTGAATCTCAGCAGCAACGAGTGACCCTTCAGCGGCTATTCTATTTGTATTGTTTGTTACATTCATTTATTTCTTGTCCTTGGCAATTCGTCTCGTTGAAGGTAGAAGCAGAAAAGTTATTCCATCTGAGATTAGCTGCTATCCTTGATGATGTTGAAGCGGAGGTAGAGTTTTCACTTTTCACTTATATTGTTATGGGAAGTTGTGAAAATTCTCTTGCCTTCTTATTTTTTTACGATTTCTTCTGTGTAGATGTCCTCTGGGAAGCAAAGAAGAGAATCTGCACCACTTATTATATATCTTCGCATAAGGGTGCTGAGAAAGCCCAGTACTGCCTTGCTGAGTTGAAACTGAGTAACTGGCAGTAAAAAGCAAGTATACATCATATTTTCCATTTATATGTGCAGTATCAATCTTTTTTGTGCTGCAGGCAATGCATAATTTCAATGGAACCACAGAGAAGGAACTGAGCTTAATAGTTGGCTATTATGTTGTCGTTCGTCAGGTCAGTGTGCTCTTTAACAATTTCAGCTGTGGAGGTAATGTAGTACCCACTGGCTAATCTGGCTTAAGGAAGAAACCATCTGATCAGAGATGACCAATTAGTATATGGACACTTGTCCTCCTGCAGGAGTGCAAACTGCACAGTGACTGCCTACAGGCTTGCAGGATGAATTAGTCTAGCAAACTGCACAGTGACTGCCTATGGTGGAATGAATATATTTGCTTCAAAAATGGTGGAATGAATATAAGAACGAATTAGCCTGTGCAACCAAAAACACTGAAACCAGTTAACCCACTAACTGTTAATACTATACTATTTAACCGTATGATTGCATCCGTATTCTTTCTGTGCGTGCACCAGATTGCTCGAAACGTCTGGCGGAAGGAGAATGCCGAGGTTGGTTTCCGGAATGACCCGTCTCCCGTCAGAGCTCTCCTATGTCAAGGTTTGCAATCCTAGGGATTTAGTCCTGTTCTGTTGTACTATCGCAGCAGTATTTTTTAGCGAACCAACAGTATTTTTTCTCTCATAACATTTTAGCAAAGGCATCAGCATAAGCCAAATTTCAGCTGAACGAACAGGGATGACAAGCCAGCATGAATATCTCTGTGAATGTGCGTAAGTGCTTCAAATTTTTGGAGGAATAAATTTGAAAAGGAAAGAAATTATATCATAGTGTTCGGGAATGAAGGAAAGGGGTAAGTTTCTTTCGAAAGGAAAGGAAATCAGATTCCGCTCCAAGACAAGGGAAAGAAAATTTGCCACCTCTCTTGCTATGCTAGCTATAGAGTGCTTTCGGAAAACATGCAATTCTAGCACAGTGTTACGTTTTATATCTTAAGTTTCACCTATTATAAATTAAAAAGTATCAATAATTATGATACCAAATAAATATCATTAGATTAATTACGGAATGTATTTTATAATAATTTGATTTGGAGCCATAAATATAAATATTATTCACTAGAAATTTGGTCCAACGTGAACTTTTTTCTCTCTCCATATTTGCATGTTTTGCTGGACAGACGTAGCAGGTACGAGTATTTGGCACGGTCGCCGTCGCCCGAACTATTCTCAATTTTCGCTCGCCAACTCGTAGTGGTCCCGTTTCCTGCGCGCGCCATCTCTCTCCCGCTTGGCACCTCCCGCGCGCTGGCGCTGCCCTCAAACGCCGACTGTCGCGAGTCTACGCTGCCATGATGCGTCCATGCGGCTAGGATGCGTGTCCTTCACTCCTCCTGCGCGCCAGGCGCCCCTGCAGGCTGCATCCCAACTCCGTCCTGCGTGGATTGCTGTGCGGATTGGCCCTGCTAGAGTGCTAGTGCTAGGCTGCTAGGCGCCTGCCTACTGGCCGGCCAGCACAGATGGACGGACGCGGTCTGGACGTGTGAGCGCTCGGTGGCCGGGCAAAGCTGGAGCTGGAGGGATATTTAACCTTTTACCATTATAACGGATGTCACCTCTTCATATAGCACTTTTAAAATTGCTCCTACATATTTACCATCAAGAGAGAGCATTTGATACATTCTTGCTATTTTCGCTGACGTGGCACGTCAACTCGACCTGACAGGATAGACCGGCCACGGAAAATGACATTTTTGCCCCTCGTCTATTTCTTCTATCTCTATCCCTTCCTCGCTCGAGCTCCCACCGGAACACGGCGGGGTCCAACAGCGACGAGAGGGAGCCGTCCAGGTAGAAGGACTCGTGCTCGAAGCCGCCGAGGAGGGTGCGCATGACGTGCGCCTCCAGCGCGTGCTTGGCCAGCTGCGGGGAGGACACCGGGATCTTGGTCAGCGATCGAGTGGCCGCCGCGAGCTCCAGCCCAGCTGGCATCGCATCAGTCTTGCGAGGTGCCCATAAACGCCTGCGTCGCCATTGCTGGCCTGCTTTCGCACAGAGGTGAACAGCTCCGCCGTCAGGGCCGTTCTGCTTGGAGAGCGGGTGGTGGTGGTGGCGCCCATTACGGCGGCTGGTGGCCGCCGCGAGCTTCTCCTTGAGCTCGTCCACCTCGGACTGCTTGGATTGGAGCTGGCGCTGGAGGTCGTCGAGCGTCGCCTCATACGGTGCCACGGCCTCGTGGAGGGGCGGCGCGGAAGGGTTCGGGCGTGGGATGTGGCCCGCGGCGGCAGAAGCGGTCGCGGAGGCGCGCGAGGTGGCAGAGCTCGACGACGACAGCCGCGTCCGTGGTGCACATCTTGTCAGGATCTAGGGGCAGTGCGCGCCCTGGAGCACGGCGTCGAACACCTCCGCAATCAGCGCGTCCGCGTCGTGGGCACGCCCGGCGCCCTTGGCAGCGGCGGCCAGCCTCTCCTTCTCCTCCTCCCCCTCCTCCCAGATCTTGAGCTTCTCCTCCTCCCCCCTCCTCTTCCTCAATTTCCTCAGCCTCCGCAGCGGATGGGGACCGCTGGCATTTCTCGCTGCTGGAGACGGCGTCGGCGAAGGGGTCGTCGTCGTCGTCCAGGTTGCTATCGATGGAGTCACGGAGGGTGTAGTTGCAGGGCAGGCGGTTCGAGAGGCAGGAGGAGGCGACGCGGTGGATGAGGTCACCGACGGTGACCGGCTTGGTCGCCATTCTTTGGCGCTGCGACCAAGCCTTCCCCTGCGGGCTGCGGCCATGTTCGTCGCCGACATCGGGCGCGGCCGTGGACCTGCAGGGCGTGGCCCCGGCTGCCTTGCCCCCCAACTTGCCCTATGTCCTGTCAGCCGCTGCCATGAACCCCATCGTCGGCCATGGCCGGAGCTCGAGCGAGGAAGGGATAGAGATAGAAGAAATAGATGAGGGGCAAAATGTCATTTCCCATGGCCGGTCTATGCTGTCAGGTCGAGTTGGCGTGCCATGTCAGCGAAAATGGCAAGAATATATCAAATGCTCTCTCTCGATGGTAAATATGTAGGAGCAATTTTAAGAGTGCTATCTGAAGAGGTGACATCCATTATAATGGTAAAAAGTTAAATATCCCGGAGCTGAAGATGCGATGGATTAAAAAAAACCGGTATGACGTGGTAGTTCTTTTAGAGGGATTTTATTTTAGAGAATAATTCAATCAGAAAAATCTTGCAATCTTTTTTTTTATCTAGACTTTTGCAGTTACTTTAAAAGGATCATTAAATATAATACTCCCTCCGTCCCAAAAGAAAATACAATTCTTATTTTTAAGGGGTCAAACAATTTAAGTTTACTCACAACTATATGAAAAATAAAAATATTTGTGATATCAAATAACTATCATTAGATTAATTATTAAATTCATTTTGTGGTAAGTCTATTTAAAGACATAAATATTGGGACTATTAATTTGATTAGATTTTAAAAAGAAGTTGAGTTGTTCTAAGCTTAAAAGTTTTTTTTTACGAGGGAGTACTAGCTAGTGATCTACATACATCCAGTAGTACTGTATAAATCATATCCCTCCGTCCACAAACGACAATGACTGATGGGAGTCTTTGGACATAAGAGATTTGACAAGTCATGCCGTTCGTGCTCTCTATTCTCTGCAACCATCAGCAGTCATGCCGTTCGTGCTCTCTATTCTCTGCAACCATCAGCAGTCATGCCGTTCGTGCTCTCTATTCTCTGCAACCATCAGCATGTTCACATCCCTCCGTCCACGAAGGAAAACAAAGGTACAGTAGAGTACAATCTTAAACCATATCAAATTTAATTAATAAATACAAATATTTATATCAACGATACTAAATAAGTCCTATTAAAAATTTTCTGTTTAGAATTTAATGTAACTATAAGAGTTGCAAAAAAAAAACTCAAAACTTTCTATTATAAGAGTTGCAAAAAAAAAACCCTCAAAACTTTCTATTGAGGGCTGTGCCAGATGTTTGCTCCACAAAATCAATCTCCTCCACAGATGTTTGTTTTTCCGGCCAAAAATTTGAAGGCTGTCATCTGTGACATTGGTACGCCCCTACCTTTTCCTAAAATGCTATTTGTTAGTTATAGAAGATTAGACAGGATATCCGGCAGAGTAGCTCCAACAGTATTATAAAAGCTAACTCATAAACAAATAGTAAGGAGAGAGAATGATAAGATATGCCATGTTGGCTTGGCTGATAAACCATGACTAAAAGTATTGTTGGCTGATCTGTGGTGAGAGAAAAATATTGTTCGTTGGCTGAAAAAGTACGGCTTATAAGCCAAGCGAATAGGACCGATAGCATTTCATGAAGATCTAGGCTCACACATTTTTTCCTACGATGCATGTGTATAGACTCGCATGTATTTTTATACTAGTATATTAGATTACTGTACTTTTACATTTTTTAAATAAATTATAAGTTAGTAAGTTGACTTTTGTTTTTGAGGGTGCCCTAATAATGGGGAATAATTATTTTTTGTTTTTACAATAAAATAGCTATCTGTCCCAGTTCAGTTTTGTTTAAAAAAAATATTGTAATACAGGAAAAATAACATCTTATAGAAAAAAGTGCAAGTGAAGTGCATGCTTGAGACTGCTCTACGAACTTTGCTTTACAAACTCCACCGTAGAGTAGCTCTATTAAAAACCTTGAGTTTGTGGAGTGGGTGCTCTCATAACTTTATTTTTTTATCTAGAGCCGTGTTACGTAGAGCTGAACCTATTTGGCTAAAAAACATAGAGCAGAGCTCGAAAATGCCCAAACACCTACTAAACCAGATTGTGTACCTACTAAATCAGATTGCGTAGCATCAAGCATGTACCACTCCCCTAGTCCTATAATAAATACAATTCCGGGATGTGTGGGGAAAGACCAAAGCTACTATAAACTTATATATATGTCCTTGTAAAAAGTAGTAACAACATGTAATAATTATACTTTATAAATAAGGGAAAGCAACAAAGCTTAGTAACATCTACGTGCTCCTAAGCTAGACGTACTCCCTCCGTTCAGAAAAAATATAATTTTAGAACAGTGTTATGGTTTAGTATATTAAGCTTAATTAATTGTAGATAAAAAATATTAATATTTATGATATTAAATAAATACTATTAGATTAACTATAAAATGTATTTTTATAATAAATTATTTTAGAACCATAAATATGAATAGTATTCACTAAAAACTTAGTTAAATGTGAACTATTTTTGCTGGCACGTAACCGATAGTTGTAATCTTTTCCGGATGTGGGAGTATTTTATTACTCAACGGCTAACTTATTGGACAAATTTTGAATTCTAATGTAATAATTTTAGGACGGATCTACATCAACGGCCTGAAATTTTGAGGCATTCTAACCACACCAATGGCAATGGCAATGTAGTGGACTACTACTAGTGGTTGGAGTCGTGTTGTGGCCCAATGTGACGAGCTGACGCCATTGGCTCCGTTCGCTTCGCTAAAAAAACAAGCTGAAACATTGTTCCGACTGATGTATTGTGAGAGAGAAAACATTATTTCAGCTAAAACAAAGCTAAAAAGTACAGATTATAAGAAGCGAACAGGCCAAGGGTCAAACTTGGAGCCAGAGGCGGAGCCAGGAATCGAACGTGGGGTGGGGGGGCAGCACAAAAAAAAAACTAGTTTTATGTGCACTTGGGAAGAACGAAGAACAAAAGGGGAAGACGAAGACAACATGCCTGGCAGTTGGGCGTCGGCAGGAGGCAGCTTCCGGCGGTGACGCGGTCCGACGTGTCTATGTCCTATCTCCGCTTCCTGCTCGTATTGTGCTCCTGTCGTGCTGTGTGCGAATGTGCGATGCTATGAGAGCCGAGAGCATGCCATGCGTTCTAGACGAGAAGCCAAATAGTCAAGGAGATTTTTTTCTTGAGGGGAAAATAGTCAAGGAGATGAAGAGGCACGTTGCGGACGGAACAGAATTACAGAATACGGCTGCTCGTCTTCTCAGCTTCCTCGTGATTTGGCTGCTGGCTTGCTTCTATCGTGGGCTCCAAATGTTACTTGGAACTTGGGCTTACAACTAAGGGGGGCCAGAGCCTATAATTGTGCTAATAGATCAATGTATTTAAGTACTCCAAAAGGGAGTTCTGCCCGCCGTCGGCCGCCACCCGCGCGGCCGCGATGTCCTCGGTCGCCGCGAGGCGGACGCGCTCCCGCTCCACGTCCACGGACGGTGCAGGCAGCGTCGTCAGCTCCGACGGCCTCTGCACCACGGCGGCGGGCGCGGCAGCCAGGCGCGCATGGTCCGTCGCGGCCTCTCGATAGGTGCAGCTCGCCTTGACGAGGCGGGTGACCTCCTCCGTCGCTCGAGCCCTGGGGACGTACACGAGCACCAGGAACCGCCTCACCTCGCCGTCGTAGAGCTCGCCGACGTCGATGGAGGCGGCGCGGCCGTCGGCGCCCACGTGGCTGCCCTAGGCCCCGGACTTGACTTCCTGGACCCGGACGCCCCGGTGCAGGCACGTGACGGCGACGCGCGCCTCCTGCACGGCCACCGAGAGGAGCCCGCCGACGCAGCGCGCGAACGAGTCCAGGATCGCCGCCTGGTTCCCGACGAAGGAGAAGGTGCCACCCGTGGCCTCCGCGACGGCGTGCATCGCGGCGGCGTCGTGGTTGGCGCCGAAGCCGAACGTGTGGATCGGCGCGGGGGCGCCGGCCGCTCTGACGACGGCACGAGGTTGGCGTAGCCCTTGGTGCCGTCGGCCTCGACGCTCGTCCAGCGGCCGGAGGAGTCATGCCCGTCGGAGAGGAGGATCATGCCGGCGACGGCGTTCTTCTCCCGGCGGCCGGCGAGCACCTGGGCGCCCACACGGAGCCCCTGGCCAATGTTGGTGCCCCGCAGGACACAGAGCGCCCCCACGGTGATCTTCGCCGAGGCCTTCCCCGCGTCCGACATGCGCGCGAGGCGGGTCAGGCGGCTGGCGTGGCGAGAGAAGGTGACGACGGAGAGGCGATCGGCGGGGCCGAGCTGGTCGATGAGGAAGCACATGGCCTGCTTCAGCAGCTCCAGTTTCTGGCCCTTCATGCTGGCGCTGACGTCGAGCACGGTGACGAGGTCGAGCGGCGCGCGCGCCACGTCGGACGGCGCCTTGGCGTGCACGAGCACCGCGAATCTGTCCCGGGACGCGCCCCTCGCGAGGGCCGGGAACTCGCACTGCGTTGCCAATTTCGTTACAATAGAGCTTAGTTTGATTTTTTTTAATTTAATGCACACGGACGTTCACATATGAGAGCTTAAACAGGGCATTCTGCGAAATTGGATTATTGCGGTGAAGCGGCTTTCCAACAGCCATACAATCGAAGATAGGATGTTTTACCAAGAGGTTCAAAGCTTAATGAGGGCTAAGCACCAAAATATTGTGCATTTCCTAGGCTACTGTTCTCGTACAGAAGTACAGGCACTAGAATTGTCAGGGAATCTTGTTATTATGGCCAAGGCCTTGTTTAGATCACCTCCAAATTCTAAGTTTTTTCACTCTCTCTGTCACATTAATTTTTAGATACTTGCATGGAGTATTAAATGTAGGTAAAAAAATAACTAATTACACAGTTTAGTTGGAAATCACGAGATGAATTTTTTGAGCCTAGTTGGTCCACGATTGGACAATATTTGCCAAATAAGACGAAAATGGTACTATTCATCGGGTTAAAAAAGTTTTAATCTAAACAAGGCCCAACTACGAGAAAGATTGCTATGCTTCGAGTATATAAACAATGGAAGCCTTCGGGACATTCTTACAGGTACGACAAACCAATCCAGCCTGTTCGTTTCGTCGTAAACGCTGGCTGATTTGGTGTGAGAGAAAAATACTGTTCTACCTTATAATCCACGATCGTATATGAACAAGCGAACAGGCTAACCTCTTCGTGCTAGTACTTAATGACATTTGAGAAATGCACGAACTGTCTTTAAACTTTCTCGTGGTGTTATCTATGTCATGAACTCTGAAAATACATTTGAGGTACCTTTGAGGTACCCGAACTTGTCTTCAGGTTATGGGTCCTCAAACTTGTCATAGTGTGTTATATAGGTCCAAACGAGCTCCAACCAGCCAACATGTTGGTCTCTAGCGTTCCATCTACATGCTCTCCCTCTCTCTTATAGCTCCATCTCCACCCCCCCTCTCATCACATCACCGTTGCCAACTTGCCATCCTACCCGATGCCACCATCAGCCTCCATGTCAATGGCCACGACATAATTAGTAGTCGTGGCGGCAATGCCAAAGGTAGTGCTCCTTAGGTGAATGAGGTAGGCGAACGATTACTTTGCTCTTAAGATCATGTCCCAAACAAGAATTGTGTCGGATATCGATATTAGGGATACCCAAAACAAGGAAGTTAGCGCCCACGCTGACTTCTCCGGATGGCTCGAGACGTATTAAAAAGGTCTCGCCCGACCACAAGGCCGCGGGCTCCGTCTCGTCTGACCCCTTGGTGCGGGCTCCGTCTCAGCCGACCTTGAGGACACGGGCTCCGTCTCGTCCGACCTTGAGGCTGCGGGCTTCGTCTCGCCCGACCCCTTGGGTGCGGGCTCCGTCTCGCTCGATCTCGAGGCCGCGGGATCCGTCTCGCCCGACCCCTTGGGTGCGGGCTCCGTCAGGCTCCGTCTCGTGTCCGACCCCAAGGATGCGGGTTCTGTCTCGCCTGACCCCTTGGGTGCGGGCTCCGTCTCGCCCGACCCCAAGGACGCGGGTTCCGTCTCGCCTGACCCCTTGGGTGCGAGCTCCGTCTCGCCCAAGCTCGAGGGCTCCGTATCGCCTGACCTCGAGAACGCGGGTTCCGTCTTGTCCGACGGGGACCTATACCGCCGTCAACCACTCTAGGTCCAAGCATATGGGCCTGGATCAAAACTCTGACGCTAGGGAAGAGGCTAGCATGCCTCGATGTAACCCGTGGCCATGACGGGCCATATCTGGGGATTCACATCAAGAACAGTGTCGGACGTGCCGGTGTTGTTCTGCCTAATTCTCATACGGACGTTGACAGGCGCGTCAGTTCACCACGACGTCCGCCGGAATGAGTGGAACGCCATGACCGACAGATGACACATGTGCATGGCGCTAGTGACGAACAGGGCCGCGACATGGAGCCATCCATGTTGACATCTACAGGATCAGCGAGACCCGCATGAAGAAGAAGAAGGACCCGACAACCTAGGAAGTCTTCTTCTCTCTCTCGTTCTTCTCCTTTTCCTCCTCTGTAACCTGCGCTTTCCCTTCGCCTATAAAAGGAGAAGCAGGGCGCCCCACGCTAGGAGATCAGAACACAAGACCACGACACGAGCACACGGCTGAGCGGCAAGCGAGCTCTCAGCACCCGTTCACTCCTTCCACCAGAGACTTGGGATCCTCTCCCTCTCTCATCTGTTTGTAACCCCTACTGTAAACCAAGTGCCGGTAACACAAGTAGCAGCGAACTGAACGTAGGGACGTTCCGCCCGAACCAGTATAAACCCTTGTGTCCTCCGAGCACACCATCCGAGTCAGACGCGCAAATACAAATTTACTCGTCGGTGGTCCGAAAACACCGACAAATGGTGTGTGGATCCAACCGCTGTGGCATGTGGAATCGTGACGCGGAGTAGATCGGGTCTATTTGGACCTTTGACACACTGTGGCAAGTTCAGGGACTTGGATGAGACACTAGGACAAGTCTGGGGACCTAAAAATAGTATTTTGAAAGTTTAGGACCTATATGTGACACACAAAGACAAGTTTAGAGACCATCTGTGTATTTTACTCTAATGACAAATAATGATTGTTTCGAATAGTAAAAATGATCTTTACCTTTTTGTTTCCTCCACTGAATTTGGATTATTTCAGTACCCTAAACTGTTTTACTTGGTCAATGTAGCCTCGCATTTCTATTTTTGGTACAAATTTTTAAAAAATCTGCGATTTTCATAAGTTATGGCTCAACTACTGTGGTATCTATGCAGTTTAACATCCATAGATCGAGATTGAATGCTTTCATACTTTCATACCATACTTATTTCTTGTTTTATTCCTGCAGATGAGTTAAGGGGCCTTGACTGGCATACACGTTATCAAATAATTAAGGGAATTTGCGAGGGTTTGCACCATCTTCATAAGGAAAACCATATTATTCACATGGATCTGAAACCTTCTAATATATTATTAGATGATCAGATGGTGCCAAAGATAATAGATTTTGGTCTATCAAGACTCGATGACAAATTGCGAACCATGACGGTGGAGCGCCTTATAACGTTGTAAGCTATAAATTTGATGAACATATTGTATTTTTATACATTTTTCCTCCCTACATTTCTTATGTTACAATGCATCTAAATCGTCTATTTGTGCAGAGGATATTGTGCTCCAGAATATCAGGATCATGGAAAAATGTCGCCCAAGTCAGACATTTATAGTTTGGGTATTATAGTCAAGGAGCTAGTGACCGGAAGTAAGGAGAAGCCAAGTATTCTTCAAGTAAGAGTGATTAATCTCACATTGGATGCCCCTTATTACTTTTGACCTTTAATATCTATGAGAATATACTCTCAAAATCCTTCACATTTATGAGGTTTCACCATACAAATCAACACATATAGCTTGGATGTCTCCAAACTAAGTTATTAAAAAAGGAATATTGGTATCTGTAGCTTTTATGGTTTGACGACCAAATATTTGATCCCAAATGGTATTCGATCCATGCTTCTCCTAGTGTCCACTAACAGATCTAATTTTTCATAGAGTGCTAGATTTTACAAGGGGTTACATCCACAACATTTGTTTCAAAAATTTGCCACATTATGGGTGCGTGGATTTTCAAGGAAGTTTGCAAGAAAAGAAATATAACTTGTAGAAAATGGGGAGTTTGGCGTGCTCCAATGGGGGCTTTTGTTTTTCTTTTTCCCCTTAACTGATGATAGGTAGCGTGTCCGTGCGTTGTTACGGAACAACTAAATTTTTTGTATTAAAAACACACGGATCGCATGATAAGATAACAATACTGTTAAATTAAATACCGACGTCAAAGTGACATTTAATTCAAAAAGCAAAGTTTGTAAAATTAACACAGTCACGGAGAGCGCGACATCGCAGGTTCACAAACTCTAATGTAGGCTAAGATAATATTTTATATCGGCATAAAGAATTCTACGATATCCATTTCTTTCATGCGCCAATAAATCCATGAATAAGTTCCACTGCATCTCCATATAATCATGTACACATAGGTTTGAGTATATATGTAAAAATAACAAGGTTATGACCGTGTGACATTTAATCCAAAAACTAAGTTCGTGAAATTTACGCGGTCACATATAGCATGGCATCGTGCTCACAAACTCTCATCGTAGATCTTTCCGTGATGCTAAACTTTTTATACTAAAATTTTCGATATTTATTTCGGATCGCATGATAAGATAACAATCTCCATACCATCCTCGCATACTAAAAAGTATATGACCGCTCAGTTAAAGTGACATTTAATCCAAAAAACTAAGTTCGTGAAATTTACGCCGTAACGCCTAAGATTGTCTTTATCCTGTAGAATTGGGATGCTTTGTACTGATCATATAGAATGGCATCGCCACTATAATGTCTAGCTCACAAACTCTTGATTGTTAAAATATCGTAGATCTTTCCGTGATGTCAACTTTTTAACTTCACCAAGATCATTTTTTTATACCTCGACAGGAAGAGATTTTGCGATATCTATTTCTCCCATTTATATTTTGGTGCAAGCATATGCTAATGGAAGTCAACACGAATAAGTTCCACCACATCTCCATACCATCCGAATAAACATGTGGACCTATATACTGAATGGTGGGAATATTCGTTTAGGAAATTGCGTAAGGTTCACCATCTCACCATGTATAACTGCAGATGTTCTCGAGGAGCAGCCACTTTTTAATTTCAGCATTAAGGACCAACTTATGTAATTAGTCGTCTTGCTTGATCTTTGCCAATTGTTTCTTTCCATGCACGATTATTGTTTTCTTCCATACATGTGGCCTTAGGTGATCGATTTGTTTCCTTCAAAGCAGGCGGGAATCACAGGGATGACAGTTTCTTTTTCTATCGCGCGGGGTATCGCATGGCCGGAAGGGAGGAGCAACCCCAAAAACAATCACACCAAAAAATAGTCTTACTTTTAGTCTTTTTAGTTGTAGGAGATAGGCACTTCGTAGGCACTTAGAAGGTGGAAGCACAGGTGGAATAAATCAGCAAATAGGACGCCGCCATTGTGGTACAAACAGGTGAGTAAATGCCTAATATAAGTTTTAGCCAACAAATAATATATGGGATATAATTTGTGAGCTCAACAAAGTGGACAGTGGTTCTGATGTCAGTCCTCCTAATTGATATCTAAAATTTCAATGTGCTTACAGGAAGACTAAAGCAATTAGTCCTAGGATCCAAACACCCCCCAACTCTCGACCCACTCCAAGTGTAGCATCACCATAACATTTCAAGAACTAGAGAGGGAACCGCCACATGATTACTGCAGGGATGCTCACTTGCACCACCATGCCTATGTATCTTCCACAAGTGACCAGTGACGAGGCACATATATACTATAATGCCGCATTGTTGTTCTGTTCGTCTAAGATTGTCTTTAAGGTTGCCATTTTTGTATCCTGTAGAATTGGGATGCTTTAGTAGGGAGTTTGTAACTGATCCATATCGCTAGGAGGGTGTCCATGAGAATCGAAATTTTTATATGCCATTATAATGTCTAAATCGCTTACCAAATCGCCGACTTCCTAGAAGATCGACGAGATCGAGACGAAGCACACGAAACTTGATTGTTAAAATATTTTCAACATAACTTCTCATATACTCCCCACTACCAAGTCCTAAAATAGAATTCATTCTCGCTTCCCTGCTGAATTCCCTCTCCAAAGAGAAGTCAACTTTTTTAACACTTCGACCAATTATAATACATGTATTTTTTTTACATGCATGTGGCCTCGTTGGAAAAATCGTTGATGAAGACGAGATGGTTCACTTCGCTTCTCAGTCGTACAACTCCTTCGTCAATTGATTGTTAAATGTTGCGACGTATTTTTCAAAGGATGGCGACAAACCTAGTCAAAGTAGAGAAAGTTTGACCTGCACACATCCCATAACGACTTATATTTTGGGGCAGAGCAAGCATATGCTAATAGAAGTAGTCAACTGGAAGTCGTGATGAACACAACAATACTTTCATATTATATGCTAATTGGAGCACGAATAAACACAGGGGAATGGACCTATATACGAATGGTGGGAATATTCGTTTAGGAAATTGCGGAAATGGTTCACCATCTGCGAAATATCCTCCATGTTCTCACCATGTATAACTTTCACATTTTTTCGAGGAGGCCTCTATCCGTTAGATCTCTCGTCGCCTTCGTGTGGCGTCACAAAGCAAGCATTGGCTCCCGATGGCATAGTAGATTCGGTCATCCCTCACATCCCATTGTCCGTACTTCTTAGTTTGAATAAGCTTCCTAGATGTTCTCTAAGAGCGACCACTTTTTAATTTCTTTAGATGATTTCAAAGATATACATGGATTTACCTCTTGAAACACAAATCCGATGTTTTTAGTGCCTTCGAAATACTAAAATTAAGGACCAACCTCATTGAGTCGTCTTGCTTGATCTTTGCCAATTGTTTCTTTCCATGCACGATTATTGTTTTCTTCCATACATGTGGCCTTAGGTGATCGATTTGTTTCCTTCAAAGCAAAGGGTTTTAAATGCTTGGATATCTCATCAGTCGCTCGCATATCTCGGATGTCACTTTTGATGAAGAAGTTTTTTTTTTGCCCATCTACATTCCAATGCGGGTATCGTAAATTTTTGGCCGCTCAAGGAGTTGTGTTAGCAACCCAAAAAACATCTAGAATCACACCAAAAAATAGTCTTACTTTTAGTCTTTTTAGTTGTAGGAGATAGGCACTTCGTTTGCGAACAGGCACTTAGAAGGTGGAAGCACAGGTGGAATAAATCAGCAAATAGGACGCCGCCATTGTGGTACAAACAGGTGAGTAAATGCCTCGAGTTGTCTATAAGGTGCACAGACACAAAGCCAACAAATAGGCCTGATATATGGGATATAATTTGTGAGCTCAACAAAGTGGACAGTGGTTCTGATGTCAGTGACGCTGCTGAGTGGCTTGAGCTGGAGGTTATGATTGGAGTAGAGCCGCTCGAAATACACTTACCATTCCAGCTTAACAAGAAGATACATCATGCTCTATTGAGCTCAGCAATAATGAGACAAATGGTTACGACTTTGCCTTCATGATCTAGACGACTAGCCTACGCCCATACTGCATGGACCCAGACAGGGGCATTGTTCCACTAGGATCCAAGTGTAGCATCACCATAACATTTCAAGAACTAGAGAGGGAACCGCCACATGATTACTGCAGGGATGAGTTCAGCGTGCAGAGCACCAGAGTGTACGGGAACCATGCGTCGTCTATGGATATGGATATCACGCAGGACGTGTTCAATGAAGAGCCAGGTAAAGTGGTTGATAACGTAGATTTGATAGTTGTTCTAGACGTGCCACCATCTTCCACAAGTGACCAGTGACCGAGGCACATGTAAATTATAAGCACACTAGGGTAGCTGAGTCCTTGCATTGTTGTTCTGTTCTGTCAGCTCGCTAAGCTGATGTACTGTATCATTTTTAGTGATCATGTAGCTGTTGACATGACAAATGCACACATAACACCTGTATGATTTCCTCGAGGTCACTGATCATCATGGTGAGCCAATGCAAGCCTTTATGAACAGCAGAAGAATACTACTTTCATGCGAGCACAACAACGAATTATGCTACCTCCGTCCGTTAAAGAATATAACTCTAGTTCACTGATCATCATGGTCCGCCTCGGTCATGACTCGTCTACATTACTTTCAGTAGATCTGAACCTTAGGCAGTATGACCACCAGACCTCACAAGCATTAGGAAAATCAGTTGCCAACGGAGTTGCAGCAAGGGCAGTCACACAACTATAACTAGGTATGCTACTCAAAATTTAAACCCACTGAGTCAAGAGAACCAACTACTTCCTCCGTCCCACAACAGATGCAATTCTAGCCCCTACACAACTGTAACAAATATTTGCCAAGTAGTATATACACATCTTGGCCATTGCAAAATTTGAATGAATCAGGATCCAGCAACAGTTCGAACACAGAAGAAATGTACACTTGCGCCGACAGACCTAAGTTTTTACATGCCGCTGCTATACACCTACTCTTTGCTCTTCTACTGGTCACTGGTCCGATGTTCATGAGCACACAAGCCTCATGCACCCCCTCAGCTCAAAAGAATACCCAGCCCAGTATCTTGGATCCCTGTGCTAGGGGAAGGGGGAAAAAACTCATCAATTCTGTACACGGTTGCCGCGGAAAATGGGAACATGTCCCTCCAAATCCTGGTAATATGATCTAACCAAGTCCTAGCCAACCTGCGCTCTGGCCTTCATCTGTGCCCTCGTACCCCATCATACAATGCTGCATGTACTGCCAGTGAACAGACTGGCTGCACATACTCTTTGGCAGCTGTGGCAGTCCAACCACAGATATTGTCACATCTGAATGCGTGCACTTCACCGTGCCATACACATCATTGGTGATGTCTTCCATGAAATCTTCTTTCAGGGAGCTAGTGTCAACCTGAATGATTCTTTCAGGGATGAGGCCCCAGTAGAAGACCACGTTCGGGTCATTGTCTGTATGATCAACTTCCTCCGAGGGGCATGGATCACACTCAATCCCAGCCCTTTCCAGCTGCGGAACCAAAGGAAACTTGACTGAGTTTGTATGTTCTTGTTCAACATTTCCAGCAATTAAAGAACCATGCGCATTGTGCAGCAAAAGCATGAGGAAAGAACAAAACAGTCGCATCAATTAGTACCTTCAGAATCAGGATACGGAATCGAGATTTCACCCATCCAGCCCAGTCTCGTAGCTCAGCAAAAGTTGGCGCACATAAAGCAATGCGAAGAAACTGTTGATATTTCTGATCATATGGAAAGGGTTCAAAAAGCCAGGTCCACTGGAAATCATGCCTCAATGGATCCTGAAACAAAGATACATGGACTTATTAAGTGATCAAATATTAGCACCCAAGTATTTAATTAAGTGATAAACAGCCATGCATAATCATGGAAAAGAAAATACAGCATACTGCAGAAGAGACAATTTTTAGTTGTACACTCAAAGCATACTTGCAAAAAGGGGCTGAATCCCCTTGCTACCAACCAATTTCACAGAATAAAACTGCAATCTCACTTCCAAATGATCATGCACACTGAAATTTGAATGGATTACAAAAATGGTTTAAACCTACAGCGAATCCAAGAGAATCCATACACAAAATGGACGGAAATGAGGGAAATCAGGGTCGGTCTCACATGCCAAGGAAGTACAGACTAACACTAGAGTGAAAATATACTAATTATTTGAACAGGAATAATGTTAACAAATACACAAGAATGCTTTCTCTTTCATAATTCCGTACAGAAATTTCTAGTTATGCATTAAGCATTGAGAAGCAACAGTTCCCGGTGCTCTTGAATAACCATCCAAACTAAAACAAATATTCTAATTTAATGTTAGAATAATGTTCGCAGTGCTCTTGAATAATGTTAACAAATGACTCCGGTTTGGAAATTAGATTCCAATGAACTTTAAAAAATCAGACTTTCCTTGACTTTAATTTAATCTATCCTTTACTTCAACGATTTATTTGTGAACACCAAAAAACCTTAAGTTGATTTTAGACTCACCCTTGTCAAAGCATAACCACGTGTAAGTTCCTCTCTTATTTTTTTGAAGCTGCCTTTTGTCACATTGGACACACAAAACTCTGGCGGGGTACAAGGCATCACTATGGGCATGAGACGCCCCTCTGAATGCAAGCAGGTAGTTGGCTCATCATGTAGACTTACTGGAACTTGCCAAGGCCAGTGAGCAAAAGTCTGAAAGAACACTGCGAACAAACCATTGACACTGGCATCCGGAAATTTCCGACAGACATAAGCCGCGAGGATCGCTAAATGAATCCCAGCAAAGAAGCCAAGATACTGAATGACATAGCACAAGAAGCACATTGTTAGACCAAAATGATGACCTCATGTTCATATAGCTGGACTAAAACTGAACAGTTAGCAGAGAAAATTAAACCACATACATGACAATGAAGTCCTCTTTTCCTAGCCCATAGTTTGATGCATCGCAACAGAGCTTGAAACTTCTGCATTGTATTTCCAGTAAAGTAAAATTATTAAAAAACAGAATTTGAGAAAAATAAACAAAACTTAAAGCGTCTGGCAGATATTATCATAATGAGCAAGTTGATATCCTCACAGATCAACTCAAGACAAGAAAGCAATGAAAATGGGGATCTTAAAAGCAAAATTATATGAGTCCGAGGGGAAAACTCAGAAAAAGCAGAACACGGCTAACTGCATGCTGATCAGAGTAAATTCAATGGGCAAGATAAAAATGTCATGCAAGTAAATTCATTAGATTAGTTTTTAACCTCTGCATTTGGTACTAGCTGAACAATTTGTTCATTGACACGAACTCCAGATAAACTCCTCCAGCTCCGTGTGTCAATTTTCTGTAGTAGTTGAGGGCTAAATGTATTTATAGCCTGCAAGAGCAAGTGAAGTCAGGAGGACTTGGACTGTATTGGGTGAAGAGTATGTCAAAGCAGAAGGGCACCAACGTCAAGATATTCACACATGGTTCTAATCTTGTATAAGTAATAGCAATCATAACATGAATCAGTTGGAAAGATCATAGTTTTGTGATGTAGAATATCCAGAAGAAATGCAGAAGTAGTGTAAACAGTTATGACCTAATCTATTAACTGGAAAAATCACACGGGAATACTACATAGTTCTGATGGCGGTTGACTGATATGCCGCATGTTTAGCAAGCAAATATATCAAAGATAAGGATAAGATGCAGTGACAGTGAAACCATTAATATTAGAAGGTTAATCCATTCAATAGCGCTACAAACAGAAAGTTTAGTCATTTGTCAAGAACATTTCGTGTTCTTTAGGAGATAATAATGTTTCCATGTTGAATACTACCACACAACAACCGACCACATGAGAAGTAGAAAACACATATAACATGGGATGATAGTATAAGAAGCATTACAAAAAAAAAAAAAAAAAAAAACAAGTTATGGTATCAATGTAATCTGCTTGCCTTTAGTGCATCAATAACAGGGAGCTGGGCATATGTGAAATCAACTGCAATCCCAGTGAATCTAAATCGCATCAAGGGAACCTTAGCCTTCTCAACAGTTTGCAGTTCTGATACTTCTGATCTGCCCTCAAGAATTTGTCTCAAAACAACAAAGAAATGGTACTACAAAATAGACAGGAGTTATTATGTCGACATTACAAATCAGTATCGAGTCAGAGTAAAGATACGAAACAGAAAGAACCATACCCACCTGCAGTGTTGCAATACAAGGTCCAACGCAAAGTACATCAATGTCAGATTCAGGTCCATGAGCCTTGAGAAAGAGAAATAAAGATTAGTCAAATCCAGTGGAGATGTGTCATCTTAGATGCTACTTTATATAAGCATAGACACTAATTTCCATCCATAGACCCTAAGCTTGAAGAGCAATGGCAACAACTCATCTCTATAAACATTACAACTCAAGTCTAGAAAAGGCCAATGTGTTCGTTCAAAAGAAAAGGGCAGTGGGGGGTGGGGTGATGCAGCTGCTGATGCTTTCCTTTTATTCGGATTCATGGAATTATGTCATAAGCAGAAACTATGTCAAAATAGAAGATAAAATAAAACTGTGCTGGGCAGTAACCTGCACATTGCAATATCCACAATTGAGGAGGGTGCAGTAAAGCTATTTGGAAAAAAAAAATCAGATAATCTGCGATCATTTTATATCAGCACTACCCAAGGGATGCACTTATAAGTTATAATGTAGGCTAGCTTAATAAAAGACAAAATATGTTAAGCATTGAACCTAGGATATATATAAATAAAACAATTCAAAACATGAAATTGGGGATATCCCTATAAACAACATGAACGAGGAACATAAACTGCGCAACAATTCAGACACATCAAAAGTCCAAATTCACCTATCTCTCACTTAGCCACAATGTGTAATAACCGCATGTCAACAACATGAACTACAAAGAACAAAGTGCGCCAGAATCCAGAAAAATCAAGACTCTAAAGTTCTGCGGCTCTTGCTTACCCCTAATGTGTAAGAACCGTATGTCAAGATCGTAGCCGTGGCCAGCCCCTGGGGCACACTCTGCTCATAGGCCACCGCGTCGGCCCAATGCATCACTATCTGAGAGAAGCGCGAGAACACAACAAATCAGGAATCCAGGTACGGGCGTACGCCCTACGGCACAATCACAAGATGCTTTCTTTGACCCAAAACAGCGGCCGAGACGCATTACCTTCTTGAGCTCTCGGATCACCTTCTCCCTCTTCTTTTCATCCTCCGGCGACGGAACGGCCCCCTCATCCTTCAAGAACTGAGAGCGCACGAATTAGTCGGAAAGAAGTCGGAAACTCGGAATGCGAGGGGAACCCGATCAAGATTGAACCTCCGGGGCAAGGCTCACCTGAACGAGGGAACTGCTGCGGCGCTGATCCACGTCCGCGAGGAAGCTGGGGTCGGGCTGGAGCTGGATGACGATCGGGGCTGAGGGAGGAAGAAGAGGGTACCCCGCAGGCAGCGGCGGCGGCGGCGGAGGGGTCGGCGCTAGCAAGAAGGGTAGGGTTTGGGGCTCTGGATAGCCGGCGGCAGAGGACGTGTCGAGGAAGCCAACAGGCGCCAGCTCCGGGGGAGGCGGCCACCAGGGGACGGGCGCGACAGCTGCCATGTACGCCATGCTCATCACCGGCGACGGTCGCGGCGGACGAGGAGAAGCGGAGGCGAGCAGAGAGATTTCCGGCTGTTTAGGGAGATTGTTGGGTTTGGGGAGCAAGGCGAGAGAGGGGAGGGGCAAGAAGCCGCGAGCGTGGAGAGGAGGGGGACGACGACGAGGCGAGAGCGCCAGAACGGAGCGGCGGTTATATATGTCGGCGGCTCGCGGATCGCGGCCGCGTGTCGTTGTTGATCGGCGTGTTCGTTGCTTTCCTGGTCCTGCGGGATGCGGCGGAGGGGCCGAGGGGGGTCGGAATGCTATTTGGGATTCTTTTCTTTTCTTTTTTATTTAAAGTTCAAACCCAGCTATCTGGTTTTAAAAGTGCATCAACATATATAACCGCCGATGGAGGTTGATGCACTATTAGGCCTCGTTCGGTTACTCTGCAACACGATTTTCAGTTGGAATGGTTCACAAATTTGTATAAAGTTGACGAGCAGAAATAGTTCTTTGCTTCATTCCTGACTAACCGTTCAAACCATGTTGAAACCCGACAGAGGCTTTGACGGTTGAAGGACGTCTTATGTCTAGTTTAATAATAGTTCAAGATTGAAAATGGAACTGTCTTGTAAGTTTGAAGTTAAAAAAATGGACTTTACCCATTTCATTATATCTACCATGAAATATATTGTGCCTAGGTTTAGAGAGCAATTCATATAGTCTATCGGTTCTCTAGGGTGTATTTAGTTTCCCAGATGCCGCTCGTGCATAGATTTCCATGGAGAAGCGTGTTTGATATGTTGTATGTGCTGAGCGAGTCATACTCCTCAGATGCAATTATCATCTAGTTTGGGGTGTGCTTGAAGAGATCTGCAAATTGTGCGTGTGCATGGCACCTGCTCGTGTTTTCGGTTCGAGATTAACTACTCCCTCCGTCCACAAAAGAATATAATTAAGAGATCCATGCCAATCAAATGAGTTTAATTTTGATCAAATTTATAGTAAATAGTATTATCATTTACGTCTCTAAATAAATTTATTATGAAAATATATTTTGTAACTAATCTAATGATACTTATTTTGTATCACGATTGTTAGTATTTTTTTTAGATAAATTTAGTCAAAGTTCAAATCATTTGACTATTCAAAGGAGGTACGTATTTGCTCCGGTGTAATTACTGTAGGCAGCATCCGTCCGACCAGCGGCCTCTCATCTTCGCGGGAAAGAATATGGTCTGCCGCAAGTACAACGAGAACAAGTTGATCCGCCGCAAGCACTACGCATGCACGGCGCACGCTTCTATGGTTCTGATCTCACCTAGCATGTGAATGTTTGATTGATAATTGTGAGGGTGAAATGGTTCCATAATAATTACCTAAGAAATGGCCACGATCACACCATTTTTGTATGATGTGGCTCTATACGAATTTAATTTAATGTTGTGTACTACTCCATCTAGTTTCTTAGTTTTGCCATTTTGAGCAAGGTTGAGGTCAAACGTTTAGAACTTTAACTATCATGACTTCTAAATATTTCATTCGACGCTAAGACAATGTATAGATTGTTCCTAAAATGTACTTCAATGTCTTTATAAATACTATTGTCGGGTATCGTTATCAGGGATACCTAAAACAAGGAGATTAGCGTCCACGCTGACTCTCCCGAATGGCTCGAGACGTATTAAAAGGTCTCAAGCGACCCCAAGGCCGTGGGTTTCGTCTCGTCCAAGGCCGCGTGTTCCGTCTCGTCCGACCCCTCGGGTGTGGACTCCGTCTCGTCCGATCTCAAGGCCGCGGGCTCCGTCTCACCCAAGGTCGTGGGTTCCGTCTCGCCTGACCCCTCGGGTGCGGACTCCGTCTCGCCCGGCCCCAAGGCCGCGGGCTCCGCCTCTTCCGACGGGGACCCATACCGCCGCCAATCACTCTAGGTCCAAGCATATAGGTCTGGGTCAAAACTTTGATATCAGGAAAGAGGCTGGCACACCTCGAGTAACCCCTGGCCATGACGGGCCATACCTGGCGATTCACATCAAGAACAATGTCGGGCGTGCCGGTACTGTTCTGACTAATCTTCGTACGGACGCTGACAAACGCGTCGGTTCACCACGACGTCTGCCGGGATAGAGTGGAACGCCATGACCGGCAGATGACGTCTGCGCATGGCGGCAGTCACGAACAGGGCCACGACGTAGAGCCGTCCCTGTTGACATTTACAGGATATGAAGGAGAAGGACCCGACAATTCTAGAAGCCTTCTTCTCTCTCTTCTCTCTCTCGTTCTTCTCCTTTTCGTCCGCTGTAACCCGCGTTTTCCCTTCGCCTATAAAAGAGAAGCAGGACGCCCCATGAAAGAGGGCTGGACCACGAGATAAAAAAAACAAGAGCACGACATGAGCACACGGCTGAGCGGCAATCGAGCTCTCAGCACCCATTCACTCCTTCCACCAGAGACTTGGGATCCTTTCCTTCTCTCGCCTGTTTGTAACCACTACTGCAAACCAAGTGTCGGTAACACGAGCAGCAGCGAACTGGACGTAGGGATGTTCCGCCCGAACTAGTATAAACCCTTGTGTCCTCCGATCACACCATCCGAGCCAAACGCACAAATACAAATTTACTCGTCGATGGTCCGAAAACACCGATAGTTGACGCGCTGAAAGATCCTAATATGGCTAGAAGGGGGGTGAATAGCCTATTTAAAAATGTACAAACCAACTAGAACAATTTGATTAGTATAACAAATAGCGAAATGCAAACTTGCTCTAGCTCTACAAGGGTTGTAAGCCACCTATCCAACAATTCTAGTTGCTATGATCACTAAACACACAATTTGCTATGTCACTACTCGCTAAGAGCTCTCACACTTGCTACACTAAAGAGCTCCACTAGATGAACTTAAACTACAAAGCAAGCTCTCAATTCTAGCTACACTAAAGAGCTTGCTACAACTAGTTTGTAAGAATATAAATGAGTGAGTAGGGTGATTATATCGTCGTGTAGAGGAGTGAACCAATCACAAGATGAATACTAAGTCAATCGCCGGGAGAATACCAAAGGACGAGAGACAACCAATTTTTCTCCCGAGGTTCACATGCTTGCTGGCACGCTAGTCCCCGTTGTGTCGACCAATACTTGGTGGTTCGGCGGCTAAGAGGTGTTGCACGAACCTCGTCCACATAATTATACACCGTAAGAACCTATCCACAAGTGAGGTAACTCAATGACACGAGCAATCCACTAGAGTTACCTTTCGGCACTCCGCCGAGGAAGGCACAAGACCCCTCACAATCACCATGATCGAAGCCGGAGATAATCACCAACCTCCGCTCGACGATCCTCGCTGCTTCAAGCCGTCTAGGTGGCGACAACCACCAAGAGAAACAAGTGAATCACACAGCGAAACACGAATACCAAGTGCCTCTAGATGCAATTACTCAAGCAATGCACTTGATTCTCTCCTAATCCCACAAAGATGATAAATCAATGATGAAGATGAGTGGGAGGGCTTTGGCTAAGCTCACAAGATTACTATGTCAATACAAATGGCTAAGAGAGTGAGCTTGAGCCGACCATGAGGCTTAAATAGAAGCCCCCACAAAATAGAGCCATTGGCTCCTTAGTCCACTGAAAAACGGGGCGACCGGACGCGCCGGTCAGATCGACCGGACGCTGCACCCTAGTGTCCGGTCGCGCGATGTGTGCCATGTGGCCCCTGCTTCAAACGCTGATCGCCCGATCTCAACGGTCATCAGTATATTTAAGTTATGACCGGACGCGCTGCTTCGAAGTGATCGGACGCAGGACCCCAACGTCCGGTCATTTCCAGTAAGGTTCCATTCGTGACCGGACGCATCCGGTCACGCCTCGACCGGACTCACTCAGCGTCCGGTCACACACCGTCTCCTCTGTGCGCCGCCACGACAGCGTACGTCAGCATTGACCGGACGCAGGCCCTGAGCGTTCGATCACTCTTCGCGCCAACGTCCGGTCACAAGACCGAGACAACACGCTCACTACTGCTACTGACCTAATGCAGGACCCCAGCGTCCGGTGCATTCTGTGAAACCCTGTCTTTTTTGTACAGGGCGCCGATGGCACCGTTGGACTGTCCACACTCTACGGGCGGACACTCCGCCGGTGGAGTTTCAAACCTTTGCTCCCAAGTGCTAAACACAATGTGTATCACTTTTGTGCATGTGTGTTAGCATATTTTCACAAACCTTTTCAAGGGTGTTAGCACTCCACTAGATTCTAAATGCATATGCAATGAGTTAGAGCATCTAGTGGTACTTTGATAACCGTATTTCGATATGAGTTTACCCCTCTTAATAGTACGGCTATCGATCATAAATATGATCACACTCTCTAAGTGTCTTGATCACTAAAACGAAAAGGCTCCTACCACTTATACCTTTGTCTTGAGCGTTTTGTTTTTCTTTTACTTCTTTTCCAAGTCCAAGCACTTGATCATCATCATGGCAACACCATCATCATGTCATGATCTTCATTTGCTTCACCACTTGGAGTAGTGCTACCTATCTCATAATCACTTTGATAAACTAGGTTAACACTTAGGGTTTCATCAATTCACCAAAACCAAACTAGAGCTTTCATGCGCCAGGTAGGGGCTTTTTGTGCATCTCGACGTCCACATCAGGCCTCGGATGGCTAGTCGCGGCGTCAGCTGGGTCCCGGGCGCGCACGTGCGCTTCGGGAACCTAGACTTCATTATTACGACGGAGGGAGAGTTGGTGCAGGTTCCCGCTGCCGTCCAACCTCTCCACTCCGCCGATCTCGACGCGATCGCCGAGGCGCTTGAGGAGCTGCAGCTGCACACACTGGAGGGCCACACCCCCGGGAGCGACCAACTCCTCGGCTTCGATTACGGGAGGGTAGAGCGCCAGCTCGGCGCCTTCCTAGGACCCGACCATCCCGGGAGGGCCTAGGCCGCCTCACCTTCTCATTCGCCAATGTCATAACGCAACCTGTTGGAGGAGAGCCGCTCTCCCTGGAATACCTCATCCG